AACACTAGCCTTGAGCTGAAGAGCTGAGGGACAGCGCTCAGGTCCAGAGTTCAAGCCCCATGACTGACAAAAAAAGAAAAAAAATTAGTGGAACCCTGGAAACTCTTTCCCTACTCAAAACCTATTTTGTTCCTCTAAGAACCTGACACCATTAGTCTTATGTATGGTCAGAATCCTAGGAAGGCTAGATGTAGAGATAGTGATGCATTCTCTTCAGTAGTTCTATTTTCTTATACTTGGTACAAATGTACAGAGAGAAGAGGAAGGCCGCCTGTGAAGACCCTACTTGTGGCACTTGAGTTATCTTGCAACAGGTGTAGTCACTCTAAGCCAGAGAGGCTTGGGTGATAAGACTGCACCTCAGGGAACCTTGCCAGGAGCAACTGAGTTCATCCTAGCCTGACCCAGAAAAATTGTATGGAGGAGAACAAGAGGCCCATGAGCCTCTGATCTGCTGTCAACCAGCTGCAGCAGCGAGGCTGCCAAATAGCTGCAGTGACTGGGCAGTGCTCTGCTGAGCCGTCTGGGAGGGGATTACCAGCCTGATCCTGGTCTTCAGAGCCAAAAATGACTCAAACTTCACAAACAGCAAGGGCCTGCCAAAGAGAGTGACAATGAGCACTGGAAAGGGTTTCTCCCCCTTGCTGATGTCTCTTCTCCCCACTTGCTGCTGTGGCAGATTCTGGACAGTGTGCAGCCCGTGAGGTAATCTGAATTCCTTGGCAACCAGCAAGTACCTGAATTCTTTCAAAACCACAGGAATCCAGCAGAGAAAAGGTAAATATCCCTGCGGAGCCAGTGTTAATTAGCAAGAAAGGCTACTGAAGAAGGAACTGGGGGTTGGGAGGAAGGAAAGGCATTACAAATGCTTTGGGGTCTTTTCTGCATTTCCACTGAAAAATATGGTTGAGGCAGAAAAGAGGCAGGGCTGATGGGGCCTGTACAAGGTCCTCTCCTTCCACTCCATTGTGGGTACAACATGCAGTGTTCACATTTCTCCTGTGAGGACTTTTATGGCCCAAGGTGCTAGTGCTACTTATCTTTAGGGCTCTGACAACACATATGGTTTTCAACTTAACTTTGTTTTCATTTTTTAACTTTTTATTTTTCCTATTTCAGTGCAAATTTGGCTATTAGCTTTGACTCAAAAACGACGTTGTCAAATTATTTAAACCCCATACTGGATCCACATAAAGCTGTAAAATCCAGGACCAGGTCTTTCTGGACTCCACTTCTGACAGGAAAAAGACTCCACCATTTTGGTGAACACATTACCCTCTCTGAAAACCTAGTGTCCCCTGCTGGTGCAAAATAGCAATATGCACAGGGATTCAAAAGCAGGGTGAACCCATGATTAACCATCTCTAGGACCATAAGACACCAAATCCAAATACCAAAAAGGCAGCTTCACTTTTAACCCCTCTTTGATATATAACTCACATATAAGAAAATATGAGATGGGCTCAGTGACACACAATTGTAATTCTACCTTTGCAGGAGAAATAGATGGGAAGATTATTTTCTTGAGGCTAGCCCAGACAAAAAGTTCAAAACTCTATAAAATAGGGGCTGGGAAGGTGGCTCAGTGGTAGAGCACTCTTGCATGCATGAGGCCCTGGGTTCGATTCCCCAGCACCACATAAGCAAAAAGAAAAAAAAAAAGCCGGAAGTGGCGCTGTGGCTCAAGTGATAGAGTGCTAGCCTTGAGCTGAA